GCTGCGGATACTGGATTCCTGGACGTGTTCACCTGAAGGAAAGCCAAGAGAACCTGCGAGCAGGACTTTGCTCCCTAGTGACTTCCTACTGGCTTGCTAGGTTCGGACGAGGGATGTGTGGAGCTATGGCAGTGTATGTGTTGCAATTTTGTTTGAGTCATCTAGCTGCTGACACGATGGCTTGGATCTTGGGAGTGTACGATTATCAAATTGGGAGATGAAGCATACCACGAAACCAGCGGCTGGGCTTGAATTAACCCTTTTGCTGTCCTCCACTCTTTGCATCAGTGGCTTCCGAGATTCGAGCGAGGGCATTGGTGTAGCTGAGATGTGTGTCTGCGTGAATGAATATGTTGAGAGAGTCGTATTGGCATTCGCATTAAGCGCATTGCGCACTTTTCGAATTTTGGCCCCCTTCCAGAGACCTTGATTTTTACCCGCTGGCACTGACGTCTTTTCATTGGTCAGCCGGTTAGCGCGGTCGATGCTAATATAAAAACACAAACACGCGCACACGAGGCCACATGACCACGCCGGACAGGCCGCCTTTTCTCTTTTTCATCACGGATAAAAAAATGACGTAAAAAAAAGAAAAGGTGTGCTACAATTAATTACGTTTTTAGCGGTAGTGCAAGGCAACGCAACGCCACCGGGCACCCCCACATGACCACACACATGCCCACCTCGTCGAGCATCCTGGCGCTCTCGTCCCCTAGCTCCCGGAGGTCCCTCTCCAGGACAGCTTCCCTGTCCTTCAGACCGGCCACTGTTCCCTCGAGGGAAAGGTTAGCGTTCTTGAGAGCTGCCGCTGCCCCTTTCGCCTGGTCGATGTCCTTCTTTAGCGCGGCCTCCCGGTCGGCGGCTTGCTTACGGAGGACGGATGCCTCTCGGCTGTGTTCCTCCCTTGGATTGTGTGTGTTTTGGGGGTGCAGTTCCAGAGAGAGAGGGAGAGGTTTTCATAGAGAGAGCGAGGAAGGGAGCAAGAGAGAGAGAGAGAGAGAGAGAGAGAGAGAGAGAGAGAGAGAGAGAGAGAGAGAGAG